GATATAAGCCCATATTGATATAAGCCCATGTTGATATAAGCCCATGTTGATATAAGCCCATATTGATATAAGCCCATGTTGATATAAGCCCATGTTGATATAAGCCCATATTGGTATAAGCCCATATTGGTATAAGCCCATATTGGTATCAGCCCATATTGATATCAGCCCATATTGGTATCACCCCATATGGGAATAAGCCCATGTTGGTATAAGCCCATGTTGGTATAAGCCCATGTTGGTATAAGCCCACCGGGTAGTCCGGGTAGATGTTCTGTAGAAGGCGTTGCTTCTATGTGTGCCTCAAGGGGTGTGTGTGTGTGTGGAGGGGGGGGGTAGGGTCCTAAAATAATAGTGTACTTGTATGTGTGTGCGAGGGTTGGGTTGCTAGTATGTGTGCATGTTTGTATGAGTGTATGTATTTGGACTGCTGTTTGCTCATTTCTAACATGAGGTTCATTACACTTAATCATCAGTCTTAAGTGCATATGTACTGGGTGGATGGGAAATCTAAAACGTAGACATCTCATCTAAATGGTGACGGAACTGTTGTTGAAGATTAGGAAAGCTTAGCTTGGCCCGTCAATTCTGTTATTCCCCTTGGAAACTATCAGCTAGCGAGCGAGGTTTATAAACTCGTTAAAGGGGAGATAAATATTGACTGGCAAAATGACTAGGTTTTTTTTTATCTTTCTTGCTTGTGTGGACTGGTTTACTTCGGTAATTTAGTTACACGGACACACATCGAACTGAATTCAAGGAAATTCACAATACATGTAGGGGGGGGGGGGGGGGGCTCATTGAAAGACTAAATTCAAGATGATAGTTTTGACAAGTAACCGGCCACAATACAATTTAAAAGTGGGAATTCCCGAAACATTCTAATCTAAGGCTGCAAAATGTGATAAAATATGCGAAGTGACGAGAATCCCCCTTTCAATCTTGTCGTTTTTTATTGGCGAAACAAAATATTTTAGTGCAAATGTAATTATTATTTAATTGTTATCGAAACCTTACCCACTACTCGCAAACTGTTATTATTATTCAAAAGGCCTACTCCTGATGAAAACACATTTATCTCACACAAATTGATTTTCATCAAACACCATCACATGATCTAACACACGGACATTCGAACATCTCGCCAATGTATCGATCATATTTATTAAGACATGAAATATTTCAGTACACCCTGACAAAATAACACAACACCCGCGCTAAACAAGTAACTGCACTGAAATGATTAATAAACAGTTAAAATACAAACCAAAAAGTTAATATTGAAATATTGGCAAAACATAGTTCTCTGTCCTGTTGGAGCATGGGCCACCAACTACAGCTCTCCAGAGTTCTCTGTCCTGTTGGAGTATGGGCCACCAACTAGAGCCCTATCTATTCTGGACCATTCTCTCCACCACTATGTGATGTTCAAGTTCTTGATTAAATAAAGCCATTTATTTAAGCCATGGATTAAAATACACTGAGAAAAAAAATGAGCTTTGTGACTGTGATAGAGTGGGAGGGGTGGGTTAAGAGACGGTTCTAAGTTAACAAATTCCAAATTTCGGTCAGTTAACCCCAGGCCAGTACAGTGTATGTGTGTGTAACTGTAGTGGAGACCCATGTAACAACACATGTAGTGAACACCCCCACCCACATCACACCCTACATCCACCCTCCATTGACGTCACGATTGAACGTTTTTATATTTTGTTTGAGACTTTAAAAAAAACAACTATTTATTTCTAGTCTGACCACTAAAGCTATCCGTCTGCTCTTTGACCCAGGCAGACAAAGCAAACTTTTTTTTTCGGGAACGAAATGCAAGCCACTTTTATTACAAGAGAACTCCCCCCCCCCCCCACTCTATTCCTCGCTCGTGCAACGTCACGTGATGTCGGTGGCTATTGGCTAACACTCTAAGGTCAAAGGTCATCCGAATGTCCACTAGAAATGGCCACTAAGTTGCCAACTTCAGAGTTATTGAACATTCCAGTCAAGGGATCGATTTTTTTTACAACCTTACTCAACAAAAAAAAATGACGGGCCGAATCGCGCAATCAGGTCACGTAATTCGACATAACAGTTAGAGTTCTTTCCCTTTATTGGCCCAACAGGAGTTATCTGCCCGAGAAGGGCAAATCCCACTGAGTTCTGGCCAATAGTTCTTCAAGAGCTCACAGGGAGGGCGAGCTATCAACTGTACAAGGAAAGACCAATAAAATGTACATTAGTTTTTTCCAAGTGAATAGTTCCAGAGGTATTTTTATTTGCCTTAATATCGACCTGTTGCATATAATGCGTGGTTATTAAATATATGAGACTCTCATACAATCATTGAATGAAATCACTCAATCATTCAAACGTTGAGTGAAATCACTCAATCATACACATGTTTACTGAAATTACTCAATCATACAAACGTTAAGTGAAATCACTCAATCATGCAAACGTTGAGTGAAATTACTCAATCATGCAAACGTTGACTGAAATTACTCAA